CTAAAAATATACAGAAAAAATTAGCCGGGCATGGTGGCACACGCCTGTAGTCCCAGCTACTCAGGAGGCTGAGGCAGGAGGATCGCTTGAGCCCAGGAGCTTGAGGTTGCTGTGAGCTGGGCTGGCACCACGGCACTCTAGCCCGGGCAACACAGTGAGACTCTGAAAAAAAAAAAAAAAAGAGTAAGACCTGTCTCTGAAAAATAAAATAAAAAGAAAGGCAAGAAATAATTAGGTGCACTTGATCTTATCCAGTTTTCTCCCTGTGTCCATGTCCAGAAGAGACTCCAGAGGCCCCCGGATCCGGCACAGCGAGGTGCAGCACAAACACTCCTGCGGCAGCAGGGAGCCCCAGGGAACCCAGCTGAGTTAATGTGTGTGAAACCTAGACACGGTTTTAAATAATTTAAATAGTAATTAAAAATATAGGGCCAAAATATAGAAAGGGGCATTTAAAAATGAACAGGGCTTATAAATTTCTTCCTCCCAGCATTGACTGAAGTTTCGGGCAGACCTGTGACAAAATCTTCAATAACAGAGTCTGTCACAAGTAGATTTCCCGCAGGATTTGAGGCTGTCCACGCCTAATATTCCTGCAGCTGCCAGGAAAGGGCTGGCCATGTCCCTCGCAGGGCAGTGAGGGCTTTGGGGGAGACGACGCCTGAAGCAGGCTTGCGTCCCAGCCAAGAGCAGGGAAGGGAACTGGAACACGACAGGTAAGAGTTGAAGGGCACACTCTCCCCCACGCAGCTGAGGGGATGAATTTTGCGGGTCTTCTTCTGCAGGTCTGTGTTTCAGCCTGCATTTATGTGTGTGCGTGTGTTCATATCTCATGTAATATTATTTGTTTTTCTGAAATAGAAATCAGTGGCATCTTGTACAGATCTTTTGGCAGTTTTTCTTTCTTCTCAACAGTATTTTTTTGAGATCCGTCCATGGTGAGATTTATATCTGTAGATATTTACATAAATAGACATAGATCTAGATTGATTATAATAGCTATATGAATATGCCACCATTTGTCCTTTCTCTTGGGAAGGGCATTAAGTTTTCCCCTTCTTACAGATCTTACTGCAGTGACCAGCCCGGTGTATGTTTCTGGTCCATTTACTCGACAGCCCACTAAGGCTGCAGATCTCAAGCTCTTTAGCCTTGAGACCTTCTTACACTCTTGGAAAATATTGGGGACCTCCAAACAGTTTTTGTTTATGTGGGTTATATCTATCAATATTTGCCATATTAGAAATTAAAATTGAGAAATTTAAAAATATTAATTGATTGAAATGAACAATAATACACTGACACTGTTTTTGTTTTTGCTCATGTCCATACTGTCTGGCTTAAGAGCGGATGGCTTGATATCCCTGTCTGCTTCTGCATTCGGTGTTTTGCAGTGTGTTGTTCTGGCTGAAGTGTATGTATACACCCTAGCCTCACACAGATAGGTAGTTGGAAAAGGTAACAGTTAGTATTTTCATAGTCTTTTGAAGTAATTGAGTCCATTCTTTGCTACTATGACACAACAAGTGTTAACTTCTTAAAAGTTAGTTGGGATGTAAAGTCTGAAACCATAGTGAGCAGAGTAACAAGCTCTTCCATTAAAACTCATTGGCCTGTCACGCGCTGTCTTTAACCGATGTGTGACGCAGCGTCCTTTGGAATATGCCTCCACGGAGTTTACAGTCTGGGCCAGTCGTCAGGCTCATGGTAGCGGGTACAAGTTTTCTAAAATTACAGTTTTCATTTGAAAGCTAAAATTTTCTCTTTGGCAGCAAATGCTATCAGTTGTTTTCCTTGAATCGACAGGCTCACTTTGTTAATTTTTGAGAAAATGTCTGCCAGAGCCCCAAGTTTGTCTGTTCCTTGTTCTTTCTAGTACAAGAGGCCGGGGGTGCCCCAGGGCAGCCGGTACTTGGTCCTCAGCGGCAGAATCGCTTCTCTTGCATTTCCTGTTCCCTGGCACAGAATATCAAAGAGAAGAGCACCCAAGGGTCCAGCTGTAATAAAATTAATTACTTTACCATTTCATCAGTTCTTAAGAGAAACCGGCATTGCTTCCCCGGCGCTTGGTGGCGACGACCCCGCGTGCGGTTCGGAGCCTGCCCTCGTGCTGCGGGGACACCGGCACTTTCCCTCCACCGCTTTTGCAGCATCAGAGCAAATGTCAATGCTGCGAAAAAGGCCAGTCATTTCTCAGAAGCCCCGTGACAGTTTTGGCGTCACACAGTTCCTGAAAGCGCCCTGGAGCCGCCAGGGTATGTGGCCCACACACTAAGAAGCCTAAAGTCGCTAGGCAGTGGGGCATAGCTTGCTCTTTATCTTGTTTGTAGCTGCCTACATCTTTTTTTTTTTTTTTGAGACAGAGTCTAACTCTGTTGCCCGGGCTAGAGTGCCGTGGCGTCATCCTAGCTCACAGCAACCTCAAACTCCTGGGCTCAAGCGATCCTCCTGCCTCAGCCTCCCGAGTAGCTGGGACTACAGGCATGCGCCACCATGCCTGGCTAATTTTTCTATGTATTTTTAGTTGTCTAGCTACTTTGTTTCTATTTTTAGTAGAGACGGGATCTCGCTCTTGCTCAGGCTGGTCTTGAACTCCTGAGCTCAAACAATCCACCGGCCTCCCAGGCAGGCTGGTGTTAGGATTACAGGCGTGAAGCCACCACGCCCGGCCTATCAGGCTATTTTCTTTAACCAAGGTGTGTGCCATTGATTTGCTGTGCTTAGACCTGGTCATTTTACTCTTTTTTTCTTTTTTTAATTTTACCATGAGTTAAGACCTTGTCATTTTAAAGATGTTCTTATTACATTTGTCCTTTTCCTCTGTTGTTCTGTTGATGTCTATATTGTGCGTTCATCCTGCTATTATTAGTGGAATTATTTATTATATGCATATTTTAAGCAGGTTATATTTAGTTTAAATCATCAACCAGAAAGATGCAAGATTTTATATAAAAGAAATATTATTTGAGATAAGCTTAATTCAAGTGTCCGTCAACATTTAGATGCTTTAAAGCCTAATTTTAGAAGGCATTGCCTATTCTGCTTAAAGTAATGGTTTCTGTGGGAAAAAGTCTAAGGAACTTAACCGAAAAGGCTTTTTTTTTCCTCAAGCTTCTCCTTCCTTACCTGGATCTGGGATGGACTGTCCCTGACAGTTCCTCCCCTAAACCCCAGAGAGAGGACAGGGCCGGGCCCTGCCCGCATGCTGCATAGTGACCAGGACCATGACTCTGCTGCTTTGCTCCTTTTTTTAAAGCCAGCGGATGAGCAGGCTCAGTGGCGAGATTGCATGGTTTGTAAAACTGAACCTAAGCATTTCTTTGTTAGGTGGGGATTTTAGACCAGGCCCTGACAATTTAGAGGCCACTGAACATCATGGAAAAAACATAGGTTAGGGGGCTGAGAGACGCAGTTCTCCTCTGGGCCCTTAGCTAACTTTTTCACCTAGGACAAGAGTTTTATGATGAAAAAGTAAATTAAGGGTCATTCAGTTATATTAAAAAATGACATCAAATATGGAACAAAAAACTTCAGTATGTTCATAATCTTTGATATTTGATTTAGTGATTTCATTTCCAAATTTTTTTTAAGGAACAGGATCTCACTCTGTCACCCAGGCTGGAGTGCAGTGGTATAAAATCATAGCTCACTGCAGCCTTAGTCCTGGGCTCAAGTGATCCTCCCACCTCAGCTTCCCAAGTACCTGGGACTATAAGCACATGTCACCATGCTGGACTAATTTTTCTTTTGAGAGAGGGGGTCTGGCCATGTTGCCCAGACTGGTCTATAACTCTTGGCCTCAAGGGATCCCCTCGCCTCAGCCTCCCAAACTGCTGAGATTATAGGTGTGAGCCACCCTGGCCAGCCTAGAAATTTATCCTAAGGAAAAATTAAATATGTTGAAAGACCAATGTACGCAAATGTTCACTACCATCTTAATTTAGATTGCAAAATAGGAAGCAATTTAAATAACCTACCATAGGGGACTGGTTATAAATATTCACAGGATGACCTATTATACAGCTATTTATAATCATATTTTTGAAAATAGCTTCATGATATAGGAAAATGTTCATCAACTGTTATAAAAAGTGGATGATAAACCCATATATCCCAGTTTAATTTTTTAGGAATCTGCATGTGTGTGTGCACTTGGTGTGTGTGTGTGTCTAGGCCTTGCCTCTGGGCTGTGTGTACACATGCTTTGCAGACCTGTCTGGACACATCTGGAGAAATGATGGTATTATCAAGACATATTCATTTTTGCAAGAGGCTCAGAGGCTTGTGGTGGAGAGTATATCCTGAAGGAAGCACAGCTGAGGACAATTAGGATGATAAGCTGACTTGTTAGTGACTCCTCAGCAGTCTGGGGCAGGTCCAAGCTGGACACCTGTGGTGGCCCCTGCTCAGCTCGCATCAGATGCAGCCCTGGAAAGCAGCGGGCCGCCCCGGACCTCTCTGATGGGAGGAAGTAAAACAGGGAAAGGTACTGGTTCTCCTCAGCCCGAGAGCTCAGGGCCAGGGATGGAGGGTGGCGTCCTCCAGGGACTTGCAGGGTTGGGAGCCTGCGTCACAGGTGGGCCAGGCGCTGGCCACACTCAGGCCATCGCTGCTCTGGGGCTTCGCCATCGTTCCGGGATGGGGGGGTGCGGGAATGCGTGCCTTCTCAGGCCGGTGTGGTGTTCCGTGAAGGTACTGTCCGGCTGCCAGGTGGAGGTGGCCAAGCAGGACGAGGAGCCCGGCTGGAAGTGGCGGTCCAGCCTTTTGTTCCCTGCAGGCTCCCCACTGTGCACTCCCGTGTGCAGCCGGCGGTGGGGACGGGCTGCGGACCTGGAACTGCCACTAGGAAGCCCCGCACGCACGACAGGGTTCTGCCCCTCTCCGCACCGGGAGAGGCGGGGCCGGGACGGGAAAGGCCCCCGGCGGGAGTGGCGGACGCTTCGCCCGGCGGGACGCGGGGACGGCGCGCGGGTGCAGCCGAAACACCCCGCCCGCGCGGCGCTTGTGTCTCCCCAGCCACCCGTGGGACGCGGTGGCGCAGGCGGCCATGCGGAAGTACCCGAACCCGATGAACCCGAGCGTGGTGGGCGTGGACGTGCTGGAGCGCCGCGTGGACGGCCGCGGCCGGCTGCACAGCCTGCGCCTGCTCAGCACCGAGTGGGGGCTGCCCGCGCTCGTGACGGCGGTGAGCGCCCCCGCCGGCCCGCACGGTGGCGCCCCGGCGCCCGCCCAGACCGGCCCCTTCCGCTTCCTCACCTCCTGGGGGGTCACCTCCTGGGGGGCCCCGTGTCCGAGCCGGCCCGCGCCGGGTGGGGGTCCCGCGTCGCTGTGCGGGGGCGCGGCTCAGCTCGCAGCAGCTTCCTTGGGGCCACCGGGGAGGGCGCGGAAGACGCAGATCCGGGCAGATCCCTGCCCAGACCAGCCCCGGTGTCCCCTCCAGGTAGAGATGTCCCCTCCAGGTAGAGCCGCGCAGGCCCGACGGACGCTCACCCCGAACTCTGGGCGGCACCTCCCGTGCAAAGGGGCGCTCCCGGGCTCCCCAGCCTCGGCTGGCCAGTTTGGTCTGAGCCTTTATCCTGGGTCTGTGTGCCCCGTGTGCGGCCGCTGGCACGGACGCGCCGCGAAGTCAGGGCTCTGTCTCCTGTCCGCGGCTGTCCCCGGCCACAGCATGTGTAGAATAAGTGAATTAATGAGTAGATGAGATGTTCGGTGTTTCATGATCCGAAATGGAGTTTTTAATACATCATGATGCTAATTTTGCTTTGTTTTTTAGATTTTGGGAACCAGTAGGACTTTGACATACATCCAAGAACATTCTGTTGTGGATCCAGTGGAAAAGAGAATGGAACTTAGTTCCACCAATGTAAGCAATGGTCTAAAACGAGAAAGGTGCTTAATTTTTCTTGGCGATGGTGCATGATGCCTTCATTTATTTCCGGCCCACCTTTGGTCTAAGTGATTGCTTATTTTTAATAGAAAGGCTGAATTTATTTAGCAGTATTTTATTTGTCTTTTTATTCAAGTACAATAAATGTATAGAAAAATGCACATGATGAATTGTCACAAAGTGAGCACACCTCGCAACCAGCAGGCAGAGCAAGCAACAGAAGGTGACCAGCCCCCCAAGCACCCCTGGTGCAAATTCAGAGAGAGTGCTGGGGAGAATGCACGGGCTAGGACAATGGTTTGCTCCTGAAATATTACTTATTTCAGCAAACGTGGAACTGGGCTGTGGTGGGCAGAATCGTCCCACAGTGCGCATCTCAGAGTTCCCCTTCCTCAAGGGCCCTCATGTGGCGCCCCTTCTCTGTCCCGTGCGCCACGGTGTTGGTTTGAGTCACGACTCATTTGTTGGTCCGCTGATGGTATCAGGTGCTTGCCAGGTGCTCAGCATTGCTCTAGGGGCAGGAAATGCAAGGATCTTTTAACTTAAGAGATGTTCCTGCCTTTGCTGGCCTTCTTGTCCTAGGGGTGGACATATGAACAACCTGGAGGGCAGGAGCCCCTTGAAGCAGCCTCGTGATAGCTTCATAGAGGCACCAACAGGGAGGCGAGGACGTAAAGGCTGGCGGGGGTTCTCCAGGCAGAGACCTACGCACAGATGGCGTTGGAGACTGTGAGGGGAGATGGCGTGGGAGAGATGAGGGCAGAAGGGCAGGGACAAGACCATGGAAGGCAGAGGAGCTGGAAGTCTTCTGTGCAGTAATAGGGAGCCATTGAGAGTTTGTTGCAGGAAGGTGGTGTCTTTGGGTTGTGTGCTGGGAAGGTCACTTTGGCAGCTTTGTGGAGCGAGGGCAGGGGGATGTTGGGACCTAAGCCAGGGAGACCAGCAGTCCAGGTGGCAGTAGTCCAGGTGAGAGGTGGCAGGAGGCTGCCAGGGCAGGACGCGGGGAGTAAGGGAATGGGAGGGTCAGTTAAGGTGCGACTCTGCCATCTGGTTTGGGCACCAGGCGGGACTGTGGGGCTGTCATGGGGCTCAGGTCTGAGAAGAGAGAGGAAGTCTGGTTTTGGACATCCTGAGTATGAAGTCTCTGCAGGGCGTCCTGCACGGTAGGCTGGGGAGTGTCCAGGCTGAAGCTGAGGATGTGGGGGCGGAGGGTTGCTGTGGCGAGGGAGGGGGTGACCTGGGCCCAGGGCCAGGCAGAGCCCAGCGCGGTGACAGTGCTGAGTAGCACCAGAGAAGTCCCCCATCCTCTCAGCATCTTCTGTGCAGCCCAGTGTTGGAAACAAGACAGAGCCACCTGGGCCTTGAGGTTACTCATCCCAACCCAAAAGGCATCTGAGGAGCATATTGGAACTTGCAAGGAGGTGTGGGAACAGCCTCTCTGTTGCCTCTGTGCTGTGGCTTCACCCTCTGCCCATCTGGAAACACCTTCCAGAGAAGGAATCGGAGCGAGTCCCTGTGTGCTGAGAGATGAGGTTTCGAACCACTTGTAGGATGAAGCCAGACTCTTCGCCTATCAACTGGACCTTTGTCAATGGCCCCTGTTCCACTTAGGCCCCTCGTCCCAGGCAGTCCTGCTGCATGAAGTCATAGGAGTATTTCAGGGTCCCCACTGGCCAGTCAGTCCCCTTTTACCATTCCTGACGATTTAGGGATTCTGTTCTCCCTGCCTGGAAGGTCCTTCTTTACTTGGGAAATTCCACCGATCCTTTCAGAAAGCTCGGTTGCCAGCGAAAAGGGGCGGTCGATGTTGCAGTGAGGTCTAGTGGAAAGGAAGCAGGGTTTGGAGCAGGACAGGTGTGTGCAGTGATCACTGCATGGCTGGATGACTTTGGGGGTGTTATTTACCTCTTCCGAGTATCACATTTCTTGCATAAAAAAAGAACAAACCTCATAAGGTTGTATTTTATAAACCTCATTTCTCTTCATTAACAGTGATTAGCATAAAAAATATTGCACATAAGATTACAACAGCTAATCCAGAGTGTAATTGTTAATAGATATTGTTAAATATTTCTACACAATATAATAACTGTATATTACAAGACTCCTTTGCTAACTCTGTGCTCCATAGGAGGAAGGAGATTCCCCGCTAATGACTTTCATCGGGACTGGCAGGCCAGGGAGGCTTGCGGGGAGAGATTACTAAATGAGCAAAACATAAGCGTTTATCACTGCTGAAAGGCTAGCTTGCTTGTGACTACTTAAAGTTTTTAGAAAATGGCCTTTTATTGGAACTGGCTCTTTGAGAAGAGGGTAGATTGGGTTAACAGTGATGTAATTTTAGAGCTCCATTCAGTGTGGCAGCCACCAGCCACATGTGGCTATTTAAGTTTAAATTAATTAGGACTAAATAAAATAAAAATTGCATTCCTCAGTCACAGGAGCCACGTTTCAGGTGTTCATTAGCTGTCTGTGTTTGTGTCCACCACATCAGACAGCACAGATGTAGGACATTACTATTGCACAGAAAACTCTGTTGGACAGTGTTGTTCTAGAGCTCCAGTTTTTAAGTAGGTTTTAATAGTAAATATAAACGTAAATGGGGAATGCGTCTGGTTACAGAAAGTGGTATGGGAGGAGACAAGACTTCTACCTTTACAGACTTTGTGTAGATTCAGGGTTCTGTCCCATCCAGTCACAGGAGACAGTGCTCCAGGGTCTGCCAGGCTGGGGGAAGAGCTTTCTGCTCACCTGCCTGGACACCGAGGACTGTTTTGTCCTTTTCTACAAGTGTTGATGGATTGGGCAGTTTGAAGGTACTTTGAAGGCCAGAGCTCTGCTCAGGTATGGGGCGGGGTGTGAAGAGAGGGCAGATGACAATTGCCAGAAGGAGCAGCTAAGCCGTGGTTTCCCTAGGACTTAATGCGGTAATACCTCCCGTGCCTAGAAGTTTCTTCTGTTCTGGCTCCAATAAGCATGAATTTGGGGCTGGAAGAGTATGGGCAGATGGTTTGGGAAGAAACATAGGAGAAATAGAACCTAAAAAGAACCATTGTTTCTTTTTTTTAAAGATCACACTCACAAATTTGGTGTCAGTTAACGAGAGGTTGGTGTACACACCTCATCCGGAGAACCCAGAAATGTGAGTCATCTCATCCTGGGATTGACACATTGCATGCCGCGGGTGGGGAGGGCACTGGTTAGCCCCTTTACTTCTTGCTCTTCTGCAGGACTGTGCTCACACAAGAAGCTATCATCACCGTAAAGGGGATTAGCCTTGGCAGCTATTTGGAAAGTTTAATGGCCAACACAATATCATCCAATGCAAAGAAGGTACTTACTTCAGTCCCAGGGGCCCCGTATGTGCTCTAGTTAAGTGCCAGATTAGGAGGGTGATATTTCTAGTCCCATATGTCCTGCTGAGTGCTGGGAGTCTACATCTGTGCTGAGCTCATAATGCCACAGTGTTTCCCACAGTTACATTCAAAACCAGTGGCAGGGAAAGGCTGGCCTGGTCTCAGGGGAATTGTGTCTGTGGAAGCCAAGGGAGCCATGGGGTTACTCTTTTTAGTAGGGAAAGTGTGAGGTAAACCTGGAATGTAAAGCCAGCCAAGGCAACTACCACTTCAAAGAGCCCAAATATCATCGGCTCATTTGCCAAAGCAAACAGACCCCCAACCTCAGAAAGATAGTATGTGTTAACGCTGACAGGCAGGATATTCGGGACTTCTAGTAGTTTCACATTTAATAGGCATTAAATGGCTTTGGCTGAACCTCACCAACTGTAAAGCTTCCCTGGAGTCAGCTGCCATCTGTGCATCTCGCCTCTGGCAGGATTTGGGAGTAGGCTTGGGGAGGTGAGAGGAGAAAGGGTGGATCCCAGGAGGCCGTCCAGGGCTCTCCCTTTGTGCCTGGGTCACTGGGGTGGAGGCAGATTGTTCAAGAAGTCCAGGCTGCCCTCCCCTCCGGCAGAGTTGATGGAAAGACCTTGGATGTTTGGAACGATGTTCCTCAAATTCAAGGGGATGTCACTCACCAGAACAGGGCCTTTGCTTTCACCTTGGTTCACTTCATGGGCATGTGTCCTCCGCTTGTCAGTCCTCCTCCCTGACTCTCCCCCGCTTCTTTGTGGGTCTAGAACTGAGTCTTCGTTTTCGGGATCGGTGGGGCGATGCCAGGGGCTGTACTTCCCCTCCCAGTGCCCTCCCACGCCTAAGTCTCTAACGAGTGGAAAACCACGCGTGCTGCATTTCGTCCAGTCACTGGCAGAGGAGCCATTCTGCCCGATTTTGGAGAAGAAAGCAGATTCGAGAAATACAGGCAGCATCTTAGGCTTCAGGGGCGCTAGGGCAAAGCCCTAACAGGCAGAGCTTGTCTGTAGTGGAGCCCTCATGGGTGGAGACAGAATGGTGCTCATCTTGTATTTCCAGAACTTGGCTTGGGGCAGGAGCCCTAAATGTTTACTGAAGGAAATGATACATTATAGGAGGAAGGGAATGCTCAGTGAGGCCGAAACCATCGTGGACTACTTTTTTGAGAAGAAAATTGGGGTAAACTCAGTGAGGCCAAAATGGCCTCCAGTTATGACTGGACGCAGCTCGCAGCCCGAGGCAGGTGCAGGGGTCGGGGGTCATCTTGGGCCTCCCTGGCCTCCGTCTGGTGGCCTCGGCCTTGGGACTCGGGGAGGTGAGGGAGGCACTTGCAGCCTGTCCCGGGCGAGGACGTGCTGCGCCGCGCCAGGCCAGGCGGGGCGCCCGAGCCGGAGGAAGGGAGCAGGCGCCGTCCGCGCCCGCCGTATGCTGAGCTCGGGGAGTGGCTGCGGGTGAAGCGGCCGAGAAGGGCCCTGCGGTGTCTCCGCCGCAGCTGCCGCGCCCCTGTGCGGAGTCACGCGCGGGCTGCCTGCAGGGGGAGGCAGCACGTCACAGCTCGCCGGCGTCTCTGTTTTGCAGGGCTGGGCTGCCATCGAGTGGATAATCGAGAATTCTGAGCGCGCTGTGAGCTAGCCAGGCCGCCCCCGCGCCTCGGCACGAGCAGTGGTGGCGACGGCACTCGTTATCCCGGTACAGAACGTGCGGCTCTCGTTGACCGTGTGCGTGGCGGGGCGGCGGGGCGGCGGGGCGGGTGCCCGCGCCAGGGGACGCTTGCGAGGCGCAGCTGCACGTCAGTCTCCAGCCCTGAGCTCCTCGCGCCCTCCGCGCCGCGGTCGGATCGCCGGGGCCATCCTCTTGCCCGTTTCCTGGCTCCCGGCAGGGGCGCTCTGCGGGGGACCCTGACCTGTGGCCCCCTGCTGTGTGGTGGGGCAGCCAGCGTCCCTGGCAGGCCGCCCTCAGGGCTCCGTGGCTGACACGCTCCTGGCCACCTGCGCGTGGTGAGTGCCCAGCTGGCCCAGAGCGTGTCGAAGGCCGCGCCGCTGGGGGCGTTTTCATTTTGGGCAAAATTCGCACGTGTCCCGTGAAGAACATGTCGTGCCCGTCTCTTCACTTGCTACACGCCAGTGCTCAGCCACGCGGCCACCACCGGCCGCTTCCTTTTAGTGGCAAAAGCCGCTTCTGGCATTTCCTTCAGCTTCCCGAACATGCCGTGGCTTCCTCGGCCACCAGTGGCTGCACCGCCAGACGCGGACCTGACGCGCGGTGGGTGGGCACACGTCTGCACGCCCGCCCTCCGGACAGGGGGGCGAGTCCCTCTTCCGGTTGCTCGGGGCCCCCCCGCCGGGAGCTCCTCGTCCCCGTCCCGCTGCCGCGCTGTCCGCCCGGGCCTGCTCCCCGCGGGCGGCCGCCTGTCCGTCTGTCCCCAGCACGTGCGCTCACGCGGGCCCCTGGGCAGCGCGCTGTGTGGCTCGAGGCGTCTTTAAGAACTTCCTGCTGATTTTGCCCAAGTCACTAAAGCTGAGCTTTGCTAGAGACCTTCGCCTTGACCCTAAGGTCGGCCTCACTCTGGGTTGAGCACACATAGAGCTTGCCCGCCTGGCGTGCGTGCGTGCGTGTGTGTGTGTGTGTGGGGGGGGTGTGGGCACACGTGTGTTGCTGGTGTGTGGTGACGCTGCCACGTGAAGTGAGTCGTGGGCCCCTCGGGTTCTGCTTCCTCACGCACGGGAGCTGAACTGCCTCCATCCTTTATCAGATACCTCGCCAAAAAAATCAAAATAGGATGAAAGAAGAAAGGAAGAAAAAGGAGAAAGAGAGAAAGAAAAAGGAAGAAAATAAAAGGCAGAGAAAACTGTGCAGAGAGAAGAGAGAAGCGAGCGTCGCGGTGGTGGCGGCCTGTCCGGGAGAGGAGGAGTCTGCCGGACTCGCCGGTGTGGTCACAGCCTCCCTGGGTCTCCCGTGGTGACTCCCAGGACGGGCGCCCCAGCCCCAGCTGAGGCAGCAGAGGGAGCTGAGCCGCAGAGCCCGCCCCGCCAGCCGCCGGGGCCATTTCTAGGCGGATTGTCCTTGTGCCCCCGCCCGTTCTCCTGGGCAGGGGCTCCGGCTATTTTCTGCCAGCTCTTGCGGTCTTTCTAAGTCCCTTCCCGCTTTTCAGATGACCCTCCCCACCCGGCTGCGCTGCCTGCCCCTGGGCAGCTGTGTCCCGGCCTGAGCATGTGCCTGTGCCGCCTCCCCATCTCTGCAGAAGGAAACCAGGAGGGAGGTGGCCTCTGCCCCTTGGTGTCTCCACGTCCCGCCTCGACCCGCTCACACTGACCTGAAAAGGAGCTGCATCCCGTGGGCTTCACCTGCTGGGCTCACTGGGGGGTCCTGGGGGCCCAAATATCCTTTCCCTAGAGCAGGTGGGTCAGCATCTCTGCAGAGACTCCTCAGTCTCTTGGGGAGGGAGTGGGGGAGCCCAGGGGTCTAAGTGCCCTTTCTTGAGGTGGTGAAATAGCCCCCTCCAGCCTGCCCTGGGGACACCTCCCACCAGGCGTTTCGGGCCTCCGCCCTCCGTGCTCCACCGGCCGGCCCCTGCGGCCAGTGCGGGCTGCAGACGCCTCCTCGCTCTGAAGATCGTGTTCCTCTTTTTCTCCGAATGGTTTTGTGGGCATTTCAGGGACAAGGGCAAAGGTCTTTTCCCACCATCTGTAAATCAAAGTTGTGTAAAACAACATTAATTTTTTTTAAATATAAAAGCAGCCTATGTTGCTTCAGGTTAAAAGAACAGGCGTCCGTTGGAGGACAAAGGCCTCCCCTCTCCCAGCCCACTTTTCTTTTTACAAAGTTTCCCTGAAATTTTCTATGCACATGAAAGCATGTGTGTGGTTTTTTCTTTTCCTTCTTTTATTAAACACGGATAGGATCATACTGTGTATACTGCATCGTGCCTTTTTTCTACCTTTAAGCAACGTTATCTGGAAAAGCCCCTCTCGAGGATTAGCTGGACAGCACCTGATTCCGGAAGGTGGCGAGGGCTCCTGGCCGCCACTGGCTGGACTTGCCCATTCTGCTGGGCCTCGTGAGGTGGTGGCCCGGGTGTGACGCCCACGGGCCGCCCCTCTTGGGAATGGCAGCGTCTCCCTGGATGCTGTCTGCAGCGCTTCCCTCGTGGCAGCCTCTCATTCCTCTTCTTTCAGGGTAGCTCCGTAACTTGGTGGAGGTAATGGTCTGACACTTGTCACCGAGGTAGTTCCTAGAGGGCAACCAGGATACTTGCGATTTTGGAAATCAGGTTTCTGAAGGGTGGCAGGAGTGTAGCTTCCTGTAATCCTCTACAATGGCCCGGGCACGCAGAGGTCCCCGTTTTGGGGGACCGTTGCATTTGTTAGGGCAAGGACAGCTGTCAGCGTCAGTCTGGAGCTACTTCAAACGTTTGGTGACTGAGTAGGGGAAAAATAAGCCCCTGCATGCAGTGGGGGTTTTATTCTTCTACGCTTTCTATGATAAATCAATTAAAAATGTTTTTCTCGAGGTGGCCAGTCATTAAGCTAAGGAAGTAGCAACTTCTTCAGTATTTGTTTAGTGTGAAGTCTTTTGCATGGTGACCTCCGGTCCGGGTGCGGACGGATTCAGTGTGTGTCCACACAGCCTTTGTGCCGGCGTCACCGTCAGCACAGAAGGAAACGTCCTGTGATACAGTGTCAGGGAAGCAGTTTAACCTTGACCTCTAATTTAAGAAAAGTCTGAAGTTCACCTTTGTCACAGAGTATTGTTTCAGTCTTCGAACGCTGCTGTTACCCTGATGTTCCGTGGGTGCCCCGCACCCGGGAGAAGAATCTCCACGGACAGCCTCGTGTCCTGAGACACTCTGGGGCAGACGTTCTGGGATTGAAGCCCAAAGGTCCTGTGTCTTGCGTGACCCCGAGCGGTGCTCAGTGCTGTTCCCAGCAGGGCCGACAAGGCTTGGCGTGGGCGACCGGCGACGCTGCGGGCCCTGTGACAGGTTCGGCTGCGCCGGAGGAGAGGGGCGCGGGAAAGCCAGCGCATTTGCCTGGGTGTCACCTCTTTTTCTTCTTTGACGGGAAGAAAGCTTTTTTTTTTTTTTTTTTTACTAAATAGGAAGTTAACTTGCCCAGACTTAATCCCTTCCCCAGAGTCCAAGATACTGAGCCGGAGGGAGTGGCGCTCTCAGACTTCCCAAGGTCCCAGTGCTCCAGCAGGGTTTCCTGTGCGGTCCGATCCTCGGACGTTGCCTTGGCTTGCAGGGAGGATGTTGCTTTCTGAGCGTGGGAGGGTGTTTCCAGCCGAGGCCCCAAGTGCGGTTTGCACCGCGGACTTCAGGTCTCGCCCGGACCCTGCCCCGGGGGCTGGCCCGCCCCGGGCCAACACAACCCTGCCTGCCCCTACGGAAGTTCTGTGTCCTCTGTGCATACTTTATTCATTCACTGACCATATGAATGATTTAGGGACGTCACGTGGTGTTAGTGAGGACATTCTTAATTTTTAAAACTTTTTAGTCCACTAGTAGGAGTTCACTATCAACTGTAAAGCCATCACGCAGAAAGGAATTAGCGAGCAGTTAGAATTCCATGCTGACCTGGATTTCCAGCCTGGACGTCTCACCGAGGTCTGTGCTGACGCCGGCAGGCTTGGAGGAGAGTTTGCTCGGGGCGGGGCTGGCAGACGGCTGCTTGTTTGCCGAGGATGTCGCCCCGACTCCCCGAGGGTGGCAGGAGGGTACGTGCAGGAGACTCGAGGCCCCCAAGCCTCAGGTACCCGCTCTCCGGTTTTCGGACCCCTTTCTTGCAGCCCCCGCTGCGTCTCTCAGCCAGCGTTGGTGAAACCGAACTTGCTCCTTCCGTCGTGCCGCTTTGCTGTCCCGTTTCTGGTTAGTGCGCCTTCCATCTCCCAGGTATAAAACCGGAGTTACTGAAGACCTCCTCCTGCCTGTAAACCAAACGTTCCTGCTACACGTCGCAGAGCAGTGCTGGGGCCTCTCATTTTTACCGTCCTGCTCTGCTTGGGCGCCAGCCGGCCCGTCCCCAACACCCTCACCCGTGTGTGCGTCCAGCGCACGATGGGGGCCTGGCCTGCGAGATCGGGGGACTCCAGGGGCCACGTTGTGGGACGTGGCGGCTTGCCCCTCGCTTGCTCTGCCCTGCCGTGAGGACCCTGGGGCCCTCTGGAGAGGCGCGCGCGGCAGCAGAGTGAGGGGCCAGACGCGGCCGCAGCCCCAGGGCAGCCTTCCGGAAGCTGCGGCTCGTGAGAGGCCCCGGCCACGACCACCAGCTGAGGCTGCTCCTGAATTCCTGACCCACAGAAACCTGTGGGACAATAAATGCTTATTATTTCAAGCCACAGAGTTTTGGAGTGATTCGTTAGGCGGCAACAGATAACGAATACGTCACCTTACGCTGACTTGCACAATCGCCTTGTCGCTGGTCTCCCTTGCATGCTGTCCCACTTGTCGAATTACCCCAGAATATCCCTGTCGTAACTTCCCTGATTGGAAGCTAGAGAGGTTTCTCATTCTGTTTTGGAAAAAGTCAAAACCAAGGCCTAGGCATGGCACAGATGACCGATGCAGGTGACCCTCAGATGGCACCTCGGAACCCAACTTAAAATCTTCCACGAAGCTGCCCTTGGCCGACACT